TGTATGCAGACAACAGAGGAAGTTCACCAGTGAAGGGAAGATGGACATGACGCAGCTGCTAGAATAACTCAGCCAAAGGAAGGGACTGTATTGTTTCTGTCCGGGTTAGATCTGGGAAAGATCTGAGTATGTGCAGAACTTGAAACAATGTTCACAGACAGGAAGGTATTGAATAGAGGGTCTAATCAATGCAACAAACTTGTTTATTATGTAAGATCAGATAAACTCAAGACCGTGGGTGTCCTTCCCATCTTAACTAAAATTTGTTTTTTAAGGGAAAATATTCCTTGTAAATATCTAAGTGGGCAGTGGCACGGGGTGATCCAGATTTGCAACTGTTTAAACAGTTCAAAGGAGAACACGTGCATTGTTAAAATGTTATAGATAAAGGCATCATTATTTCTGGTGATTCCAGACTGACAGATGTGCTTGCAACCACCCCAAAATGGCCTAGATGTGGTGGCCTGAAATGTAGGGTACAAACCTTCAGGAAAAAATGAAAAATGTTCACTTAGGATGAGGTAGCCCTCTCTACTTTCAACATAGTCCAGCCCCAAATTCACCTCTGGCTGTTCAAACTCGGAGCTGAAATCTCATTTTTTTTTCTCTTCAGATTTGTAATGGATAAGGATGAATACCTCATGTTTCTAGAATATGTTAAACTGTGCATGGCAAATGACTGAGCAAAGCAAAACTTTAGACAATGTACTCTCTAGATTCTGATCGTTGGAATCTCATGAGTCAAGCATGTTTGAAATTGAGTGTACTATCTTTCTTCAATTTATTTCCTGTCTTTCTGATAACAGGACCACTAGTTCTTTCAGCACTGAAATTTCTGAGTTTTTTTTTTTCTTTTCTCTCTTGCCAACAAATATAACCTCAAGTTAGTCAGGAGATTGGCAGAACAGCTGAAAGCATTTCCTGCTCTAAGAAGTCTTGACCAGCTACCCGAATTACAGCCAAAGCTTCCCAACGCTCTGCAATCACCGCTAGGTGCTGTTACATACCAATAATGAGACGGTTTAACGTCAGGTCATATTGCTGTCACGTAAGGGAGCAAGGATGGGCCTGTCTAATTCACCAGTACCATGTTCACAATCCTTGATAGGGACTCCACACCCAGAACTGCTGGTTGACCATTTGTTTAAGGCACAAAGTGTAGCCCTCAAGATGGTGTCCTCTCCTGGTTTCCTTCTGCAACGGACACAACTGAACAGCATAGAACAAGCTCTGACACTTTCATAATGGGAAGATTTTAATATCCTCCTACTTAAAGAAACTTCCAACTCCTTCTTCATTATGTATAGCTCCTCACTCTGCTGATAAAAACCCAATGACTATTCCCCAGGCTGATGAAGCAAAATAGCAAATCCTTAAAATTTTAAATCTGGTACAAAAAAAAAAAAAAAAAAAACTGTCCAAATTTGCAAAATTCCTTCAGAGGAAAGTTTCACTCCATTAAAATTGGTTGATTTGTTAATATCCACGAACTCCATCTCTATTCATGCCCGTCTACTGTCTCAGGACACAATCTTCCCTGTGCCTATTCTTGGTCAACTAAGTCATCTTTGATATTGTAGGACAAATACACCCCTTTGCTTCCATATAGCTTCCCATTTATCCTAACTAGACAAAGACATCAGGTTCTGGCCGGCGCCGCGGCTCATTAGGCTAATCCTCCGCCTGCGGCACCGGCACCCCGGGTTCTAGTCCCGGTTGGGGCACCGGTTCTGTCCTGGTTGCTCCTCTTCCAGGCCAGCTCTCTGCTGTAGCCAGGGAAGGCAGTGGAGGATGGCCCAAGTGCTTGGGCCCTGCACCCGCATGGGAGACTAAGAGGAAGCACCTGGCTCCTGGCTTCGGATTGGCACACTGCGCTGGCCATAGCAGCCATTTGGGAGGTGAACGAATGGAAAAGGAAGACCTTTCTCTCTGTTTCTCTCTCTCACTAACTCTGCCTGTCAAAAAAAAAAAAAAAAAAAGAAAGAAAGAAAAAAAAAAAGACATCAGGTTCTCCTGAGAGCCAGAGACCCTCAGTTGATTCTCAGCTCACCAAACGGTTTCCCTTTCTGATCTCTACTGCAGCGATATTGGCATGCCAAAGGGATGTGTTGGTAAATTACATAACCTGTGGAAGGTACTTTGATATAGCTTTTTAATTTTGTTTCATAATAAGTCAGATTTAAAAAATACATGTTGGGGACAATTGGCATTAGTACAGTGGTACTAAATTATTATATGTGATGATGATATTGTCAACATGAAATATAATGTTCTTCTTTTTAAAGATGTATGTGGAAGAATTTAGGGGTATTTACTTTGATATGGTCCAGCAAAATATATCCCTCACTAGTGTTTAATATAATTGTAGTTAACAAATTATACAATCATGCATAAAATTTAAGTCATTTTATTGGGGCTGACGCTGTAGCATAGTGTGTAAAGTTGCTGCCTGCAATGCCGGCATCCCATATGGGCACCAGTTTGAATCCTGGTGGCTCCACTTCTGATCCAGCTCTCTGTTATGGCTTGGGAAAGCAGTAGAAGATGTCCCAAGGACTTGGGTCCTTGCCACCCACGTGGGAGACCTGGAAGAATCTTCTGGCTCCTGGCTTCGGATCAGTACAGCTCCAGCCATTGCAGCCATCTGGGGAGTGAACCAGCAGATGGAAGACCTCTCTCTCTCTCTCTCTCTCTATGCCTCTATTTTTATGTTACTCTGCCTTCAAAAAAATAGATAAATATTTTAAAAGAAAGAAGGAGAGAGAGAAAGGATTCTTTGAAAAAAAGTTATTTTTTTATCTTTATTTTTAAAATATTGGCTATAGGAATGCAAAAACTGGGTATGTCTTGGTCACTGTTTACTACTCTTATCCTTGAAACAGACAGTACTTTTATAAGTAGATATTAGATATATGTTATAGGGGTAGATACATATATTAATATACATAATATATACTTATGCATGTAATTTCAAAATACAGCAAAATATTAACATTTTTTGAAGAAAATTAATGGGCAGAGTAGTATTCATTCAACTATTTTTTACTTTAATCTATGTCTGTAAATCTTAAAAATATTTTTCTAAATATATTTATGTGTATTTGATTGTCAGATCATGTACCATTAAGTTGGGAGTATGAAGTACTTAGTACATAGTATGAGTTCAAAAAATATCAATCCTTTCGTTAAAGTACCTATTTTCTGTCAATTAGCACGTGATGCCTTGAGAGTATTTTGTATCTTTCAATTTCACTATTTTACCTCCAACTATATGAGGTAGAGAACTTCATTCTCCAAGCCTTTAGTTCTTTCTACCAGGTCTATGGTGTTTTGTTGGAAGTAAACAAATGCTTACTGGATAAGTGAAAGGATATCATTAATTTTCTCTTCTAAAGGAAGTTTAATCAATAGAAGAACAAGGACCAAGCTGGTACTCCAGTCTGCCACTAGTGTTTGCTCTTTTATGGAAGGATTCACTGTGAGCTCCTTAAGGGATAGGGTGTTTCACACACATGGCTTTCTTCTACTCACTGGATCACAGCAGTGTGTCCAGAGACTCACTGGGTATTTGTTGAATGACTTAACAAATGGCTGTCTGAATGGACAACATGAAAGCCGTGGAGAAATCCAAAATACAAGGTGTGAGAATAGAACAAGCAACCAACCAAAGAATGACAAGTGTCAACTGCAAGACAGCAAAGCAAAGCAAAGGAATTAGAGTGTAAGAAGAAGGCTTCAGGTGCCAGGGTATGGCACAGTAGGTAACGCCATTGCCCGCAACACCACCAGCATCCCAGAGTGGAGCACAACTGTTGAGTTCTGGCTGCTCTATTTCTGATCCAGCTCCCTACTAATGCGCCTGGGAAGGCCGTGGATCATGGCCCAGTCACTTGGACCCCTGCTACCTATGATGGAGACCTAGATGGAGTTCCTGACTCCTGGCTTTGGCCTAACACGAACTTAGGAACTGCAGACGACAGAGGGAAGGAGGTAGGGAGGGAGAGATCGAGAGAGAGAGAAAGTTTTCACTGAAGATATTCAGAGTTTCCAGATTAGGGGGGCTGACCCTGTGGCAAACCAGGCTACGCTTCTGCTTGTGGCATTGGTTTGTGTCCTGGCTGCTCCTCTTCTGATCCAGGGCTCCGCTATGGCCTGGGAAAGCATTGGAAGATGGCCTAAGTCCTTGGGCCCCTGCACCCACCTGCCTGGGAGACCCAGGAGAAACTCTTGGCTCCTGGTTTCAGATAGGTCCAGCTCTGGCCATTGAGGCCATTTGGGGAGTGAGCCAGCGGATGGAAGACCTGTCTCTCTGTTTTTCCCTCTCTTTGTCTGTAATTCAACCTCTCAAATAAATAAATAAGTCTTAAAAACAAAAGAAGAATTTACAGAATTATAGAGAGGCCAGGGCATGTAGTTCTAGTGTCTTATTTTTCAGAGGAGTAATTGGAAGTTATATGACTTGTTTTTCATAAGAGGCTACAAATTTCCAGATGCTTATTAAAATGAAGAATGAAGATACAATCACCGAAGTTATTAACTTGACTTTTATCCACTACCATTCCATTGATCAATGGAATGAGAGAATTAAAGCATTATTCATGTAGAAATTCACCTGGGTACACACTAGAAATGACTGAAAGTGAAACTCTGGGTTCGTAACAGGAACTCTTATATAATCTTATCCTAATGACACACAGAGAATTCTCCCTGCCTAAGTCTATGCATACTCCGTTTCCGAATGCTAGTCTTTATACCCTCTCAGAAGAAAAAGAGAGAGATGGGGGAGGGGGGAGAGAGAGAGAAAGAGAGAGAGAGGAGGATTTAATGTAAGCAGAGGTGTTGTGAGCATGAGAGACCAGAGTCACTTATGAGAAGAAAAGCATCACAATGGTGAAAAATTTGGAGCTTAAAGATCTTGTTGAAAAATGTAAAACAGGACAAAAACATATGAGCTCAAAGAACTCCCAGCAATCGAAATGGAGAAAATGTGATCTACTTACCCATTCTGTATGGCAGCTGTGGGGTCATAAGTCAGAGCCATGCTAGCCTGTGTAGAGGGAGGAGAGGGGAGAAAATACATCTTAACATTTTTATTGGGTTGCCCCAAACATTCAGCACACATAAAGATTTTTATCTTCATTTTCCATGATTTAAATTTATTTTCTACTATATATTCCCCTACCCTAATTGCCAAGACTAGCATTTTAATGCGTACAAACCAGAATCCACCAGTGAATGAGGAGTTATAGCTACACAAAGGAGCAGTGCAGCTTGGATGATGTCCATTTCTACTTCATAAACTATCCTGCGATATTTTTATAATTTCTAAGTATTGTCAAGAGCACCTACTATACATCTCATGGCATGAAAAAAGACAGTAGGAATGAGCAAAGCTAAAAACTACCTAAAATTCATTCAACCTTATTGACAAATAAGAGCTCTTTACTTTATGTCTTGGGTGTTGGGAGGTAATGAGTTACACTGCTTGTCTGACATGCGGCCAGTACCTGTCCTTTTTTTTTTTTTATTTTTTGACAGGCAGAGTGGACAGTGAGAGACAGAGACATTGGTTCACCCTCCAATGGCCGCCGCGGCCGGCGCACTGCAACCAGCGCACCGCGCTGATCCGATGGCAGGAGCCAGGTGTTTCTCCTGGTCTCCCATGGGGTGCAGGGCCCAAGCACTTGGGCCATCCTCCACTGCACTCCCTGACCACAGCAGAGAGCTGGCCTGGAAGAGGGGCAACCGGGACAGAATCCGGTGCCCTGACCGGGACTAGAACCCGGTGTGCCGGCGCCACAAGGCGGAGGATTAGCCTAGTGAGCCGCGGCGCTGGCCTTACCTGTCCTTCTAAGTGCTAGAAAGGGAAGATCAGGTACACATGGTGGAAGTTCTAGGCCGCATGACTAAGAAGAAGGCAGCTTTGCTCTGTTTCTAAGCATGAGGCCGCTGCAGAGGAACTACACCTCTATAACTGGCACTGGTTTTGCAGCTGCTGCTTTACACACTGTCTTGTCCCTTCAAACACATCATCACACTGGATCCTTGCAACAACCCCATGAAGTAAGCAGGAGAAACATTCTCTCCGTTTTATAGAGGAAGATGCTGACACTTGGAAAGATCAAGAGTCTCGTCCAGGTTCCACATTTGGAGGCAGAACCACGTTTCAACCCAAGTCTTTGGACACTGGATCCTTTCCACTCGATTGCCGCGTTGGCCTCGGATTTCATTGCGATTTGAGTGCCATCTCCATTCTCATGGGAAAACTTGCTCTGTGACCATTTTTATCAGAACTCTCAGTATGGCTATCACTTTTGGGTAGAAAAAAAAAGTATAAAATGAAATGTGGAACAAACTTCCCAGGTTGGTGTAGGGTGGATTTTTTTTTTCTTAAGAAATTGAAAAGTGAATTAGAAGTGGATGTTAAGCTTACTGGTTTGATTTCTAGCTCCGACTAGCCAGTGATGGCACTAAAGTAATTAATTTCCTGCCACCCACCTAGGATATCTGGACTGAATTCCTAGCTCCTGGCTTCAGCCTGGCCCTGTCCCAGCCATTGTGGGTATTTGGGGAGAGAAACTATAAATAAGAGTGCATGCTCTCTCTCTCTTTCTCTTTCAATCTGCTTCTCAAATAAAAATAAAAAGTAAATCAGACCAACACCAACCTCCTGGCTTTCATGATGTTCTATAATTAACTGTTGGCAAAGTGCATGTATCAGGATAAACTGAGTAAAGGCCAAACAGCATGTCTTTGTACATTACTTTTGTAACTTCCTCTGAACTATAATTTATTTAAAACACATTTTAAAAAAGTGAATGAGCTTTGGAGATTTTTGAAGAGAATAAGGAAAACCATAAATAGTTTCATTTAGTTTAGTTATTTTAGTTATCTGAAAGGGATAGATAAGTTTCAGAGAGAAAGAGAGAGGGAGAGACGGAGGGTCTCCCATAGCTGGTTCTCTCCCCAGATGGCTCAATGGCCAAGATTGCACCAGACTGAAGCCACAAGCCAGGAGCTTTCTTCCAGGTCTCCCACATGGGCTCAGGGGCCTAAGCACTCGGGCCATCCTCTGCTGTTGCCCCAGATGCATTAGCAAGCAGCTGGTTCAGAAGTGAAATAGCCAGGCCTCAAAATGGTGCCCCATTGGGATGCCAGCGCTGCAGGCTGTGGCTTAACCCACTATACCGCAATGCCAGCCCCATCACAAGTATTTTAAAGAAAAGAAATTACAAGCTTTCACATTTGAGTATTTTCTTTACCTGGTGTGGTTGAAGGTGATTTTCCTGTTGGGGCACTGAGTTTCTTGGATTTAACATATAATTGGAATGAAAAATTTCAGGCTTCCCAACACATGGCTTGATATACAGCTTGCATAATTTTCCCAAAATAATAACTTGTACATTATTACTAAGATTGGTATGAGGAATAAAATCATGAACAGAATTGCCAAAAGGGAACAGACATATATTGAAATGGAGTTTGCAAACAAAATTATGAAGGCTGTCAGAAGTTCATGGACACTGAGAATACTTGTTGAATGATAATTCCATGACTTCTCTAAAACGTAAGGATCTCAAGCATGTTAAAGAAATACGTACGTGGTAATATGACAAGTTAATGGAAGAGGAAAGGAGAAGAGAATAAACTGAAAATGAAGAAGGGTTTTCATTTTTCTTTTGCCTTAGGAAAGGCAGGGAAGTAGGTGTCAAAATACCCAGAGATCCAAAGTGTAAATTCTTCCCAGGGGTGGGGCTTCTGCCACTTAACTGGCAGGAGACTGATCCACAGCTCCTCCTCACGGAGCTGTCCAGAGCTAAGCTGAAGCCCCGGAGTCCTGGCTGGTATAGAGGGCAGACCCAGGGCTGTGCATTTGGGATGAGATTTCCCCAGCAGGAACACTAATGCCTTCCTTAATGCCATACCCAAGGTTAAATGGGAGAAGTGGGCTTTACATTCAACAGGGAGATTGCTAGTTCATAGATCTAGGACGACAACCACCTCTTCTGCCTCCCAACTAACCCACGTGTTATGGGAGGCTTGCCTAGTCAAGCTCACATCCCTGTACTTATTTTCCAACAGTGCTCAGGGAGAGACCAGTGGTATCCAATCCTTCTGGAATAATGAACTGTCGCAGACATGGTCTTCTTCTACCAAGCTTCTACCAAGTTTATATAGAATTCTTCATAGGTGCCAGTTGACTATTGAGTTCGAGCAAGGAATATAATAAGTACAATGAACTCCATCTCTGTATCAGAATATGTAAGTTGGTCTCTTCCTCCACTTCAAACCTCCAAAAGATGTCTCAAAAGATGACAAAGAACTGAATGGATAACAGAAAGAATGTGTTGTAGTTAGATAAGCCAGTTCTCAGCTTCTAGCTCTGTTAGTTCCTAAGAATGCGACTTGGGCACATTATTTAATCTATTTGAGCCTCATTCTCCTCAACTGTGAAATGGTATAATAATACCTAGTGGCCGGCGCCGCGGCTCACTAGGCTAATCCTCCGCCTTGCGGCGCCGGCACACCGGGTTCTAGTCCCAGTCGGGGCGCCGGATTCTGTCCCGGTTGCTCCTCTTCCAGGCCAGCTCTCTGCTGTGGCCCAAGTGCTTGGGCCCTGCACCCGCATGGGAGACCAGGAGAAGCACCTGGCTCCTGGCTTTGGATCAGCTTGGTGTGCCGGCTGCAGCGGCCACTGGGGGGGGGGTGAACCAACGGTAAAGGAAGACCTTTCTCTCTGTCTCTCTTTCTCACTGTCCATGCTACCTGTCAATAATAATAATAATATAATAATACCACCTAGCTCCTTGGACTGTTGTGAAATTTAAATGAGATGACATTTGTAAAGTGCCCAGCCCAGTGCCTGGAGACAAGACACATACATAAATATTACAATACATAGCAATACGTGCTGAGCGCCATTTGAGTGATATGAAGGAGGTGCTGGGGATGATCACGTGTGGCAGGTCGAGCAGTTACAGCTGAACACAGTCCTGAGCGATGAGGAGCGCTGACTGCAAATGGAGATGAAAAGTGAAGCCCTGCTCGGCACAGTACAGCATTGGAAAAAGTGTCTAAATAAAAATGGCATGCTGAGTGGCTCACTTGCAGTAGAACATGTGTGGAGAGAGAAGAGCAGAAAAGAGGCCTCGCAAGTTGAGCAGGGTATCTTGATTGCCCAGCATCTCTGAGGGAGCCTCATTATTGCTGATTCCTAATTCGAATATGGTCTTAAGACAGATTTTGCATTGGATTTCCTTTTGTTTCTTTCTACAAAGGTACAAAAGAATTCACTTTTGCTGCTCTGTCTAGCCACTATTATACTAAGCTAGAACCATGAAATCATCATTATATAATCGCCAAATATTGTGGCATGTTTACAAACTTCGGAATCACATGCCAAAGTAAAATATCTTGGAACAAACTGAAAATGTCAAACCACATATGTAGAAAAGTGATGTTTAATCCTGTCACTTACTTTTAAAAGGGCTTATTAGATTCACAAACATTCTTCGTTTCTCAAGTTCACATTATTTGTGTAATGGAGGCATTTATAATTTATTTAAAACAAAATGGAGCGTTTTGTCATTTTTCAGCAGTAGCTAAGTTTTGGTTCAGTATTTCAGCCATAATAGGGTATTTCTAGCCCTTCTAGACAGAATCAGTAATAAAGAACTAAATATTTTAGAAGACATTTTTTAAAAATGATTTATTGCAGTAATTAGGGTACTTCTATTTTTAATAAATGTGGGAGATTCATTGAGGCACATCAGTTGGACTTCAGAGCTGGATCCTTGCTATGCTAATTGTAAAATATGCTGTTAGGTTACATGAAGAGGTGGTAACTGCACAGCTGCTTCTTAAGGCGTACATTTTCGGAAGTCAGCATTCCCGCGTAGACGCAGCCCCTGAACGGCAATGCTTCAACTTTTTGGGGAACAGAGAATGACTGTAATATCACCAGTGACAAGATAGGCTGATGGAATTGTTTCAACCACCTTAAAACTATTGTTGCACTGTAATGTAGACTGGAGACCCAACCATTTG